GTAAAATTTCCGTTGAACTGTAACTGACCTTCTATGCCCCATGACCAACTTTTCTTATATTAGGGGAGAGAGTTGCCGAACCACTTAAGGTATTATTTATTATATACTCGTATCCCATTTGGTACTGATTTGTACGCAAGCAATCGTTGAAAATTGTAGTTTGATGTTCCAGGCATCTATTAAGTACTACACGTTTAACGTTTCCCTAATAACAAATTATTTTGTCATAAGTCTTTTTGTAAAACGTTGCACAGGGTACGATTTAGGGAAAAAAAACCGGTTGCCTCCTTGAAATAATTAAATTTATATCGAGCAAATAGTATAAGATTGATATAAGAAAGTGTTAACTCATACTTGTTTTATTAATAAATTATCTAAAATAGTCCAATAATTTAATAATTTAAAAATAATAATTAACGATAATGGGAAGAACATTAAGATACAATTAGCTTACAGTGGTTTTTGCAATTTACATTTATATTGTATCACGCCTACAGATATCGTTTATTGTTTATAAAACCGTACCGGTACGTGATAGGAAACTTCTTTTAATTATTATTCGTATATTAAATTCAGCTCTACAGTAGCCACATAAGAATACGTTCTGTAATTTTTTATAAAAGGCTCTTTCACACTATCCAATCACCATACAAACCTGCGGTAAACGTATTGCATTAGAGTGACACCGACAAAAATAAGTCGATTGCCTCACCGCGCTCTGTGCGTTGCGGCGCATCTTAATAAAAGCGCGTGTACATACGTCCTTCCGCCTCTGAAGCTCCCAGTAGCCATTTAGAAACCAATGAGCTTCTAATGAAGGTGGAGCTTGCGACGGAAATCTCCACCTACTCTTAAAACGCTCTATTTCCCTCCGCTCGTCGGCGACGAGCGACATAGCGCGAGCCGAGAGAAGATCGCGGAGAACGCGAGAGAACGAGAGAGAGAGAGAGAGAGATCGGAGGTGGAGAACCGATGAGGACCTTTAAGTACGTCTTAACTCGGCCAAGTCAGTTGGCATCTCGCTGCCCGAGAGCAAAATGACGCCTTCGTTTTCGAGCGCGGCCTCGCGATCAGACGACCCCGATCGGCGCGTTGTAACGTTGCTGTAACTTCGACGTGGAAATTACGGTCTCCGCGGTTACGTCGTGCTTAGCGCGAATTGAAATCTATGACGGACGTGTATCGATCCGTCGAGTTCGCAAGTGAATAGAGAACTTTTCCCCCCCAAGTTTTGTTTTATGAGATAAAAGTTGGTCCAGCGGGAGTTGGTGAGAGAGCGTGAGCGAAAGTGGGGTAGTCGGCGGGTATCAGGTATGTTAAGAAACTTTATGATCGAAGCTGCGAGGCATAAGATGCTAACGAACTTGATCAAAGCTCGGCGGAAGTTGCGAGAGTGAAATTACGTTGATTGGAAAGCGCCAATCTGAAACTTCAGCTGTACCGTAAAATCCCGGAACCTCGTGATTTTACGCAATACGAGATTGATTTCTAATCGTCAAACTCGGAAATTTCTTCTACGTATTTCTCCGCGTATAAATGTACCGCAATTAAGTCCTAAGCGTTAACGAACATGGTGTGCGACATCGTCGTTAGTTGACAAAATTATCTTTACAATTTTTACAACTCGATTTTATCAGTGTCTTGCTCACATAAAAATTAGCCAGTAAAAAGAAACGGGAACGTGTAGAATAATATATCTGTAATCGGTGATCAAAGCTGAGGTCGAATCGTGATCGTCGTCGCGCGATGAAATGCCAATTGGCGGGTACCGCAGTTTAAGGGTTAATAAGCTTAATCGACACTCGATAAGAATCGCCTCAGCTAGGCTATTGGTGGCCTGGCATAAAATGCAAATACGTCACGAGATTTTCAGACGTCGATTATTGCTCGAAAGAAATTCAGTTATACACATACATGCATTTATGTCATTCATAATTTTTTATAAATATGATAATATTACGTGTATGCACTTATACATATATGTGTATTACCAAAGCGTACAATACATCTAATTAATTAGATGAAGACTATGAGTGACAGGAAAATAAAAAGGCAGTCATGAAAAACGGTCAATTCAGAAAAGATCCGACAAATATTGAAGATCCATGTTCTAATAATACTTGGGGCAGCCGGGAACTCGTCGGCCAGAAAAATCACCGCTCTAATTATTATTCGGGCGGTGTGAAAATTTGGAATCCCGGATGTGTGCCGAACGACGACCAGAAGCCCGTAACGAATCGTAATTGAATTGGGATCCGCGTGCGCGGATTTTAACCGTCTGATTACGCTCATAAATATTGAAATTAGCATATTTTCCGACAGCGAGAAAACCAGACGAATTTCACTTGAATATTCAGCCAGACGCGCGTGACGAATCGGAAATTGGCCGACGGATATGATTAACATGTATGTATAGTATATCTTCATTCATAGAATTACCGCGATAAGTGCCATAAAGCATGCGCCTGTAACGAGGATAATTTATGGAAACAATTCACTGCCGTGTCCTCGAGATTTTAGAAACAATCTTAGAATTTCAATTTATGAATTAACAGCGATGCTGGAGGTTCGATCCCTTTCTTTTCTGTGGTACAAATTTTGTTCACATTTTTCATTGACTTTTTCTACACTTTTCTCGTCGAATCTTTTGCTAAAAATAATATAATAGAAATAAGATATAAAGTAGCCTGTAAAAAATGTTTATTTCTTTCGTTACACTCATTTTCGTTTCACTTCCAGTAATAATTAAATCGAAATGCGTTTATTCACACATAACTTTCGGCGATTCTTACACATTTTCCATTATATCTTTTGCGTTGCGGACAGTGCCTAAACTGCCGAGAACATGTTTCATCGTGAAAACGATATTAAATTATTGTACTTTGTCAACCGCATTTACAGGTCTACACATTCGAGCCGGCTAAATTTTGCAAGACAGATATACTAAGAGAGAATTATTTATATACGGTTGAAGTATGAACGAGTTTCGAATAGTCTGCGAACACTTTGAAACCGCTGGCACGTGGCCCTAATTGCACCGTCACGCTCGAGCTCGAAAATGCTTTAATTAACATTTTCCGAGACAAATTACGCATAAACGTGCCGGTTCCACTCGCATATCCCGCGCCGCCGTAAATAATCATCCTTTAACGATCGCGTACGTTCAATCGTTGAGACCTCCCGAAGCCTTTCGCTAAAGGATCCAATGTTTTAACTCGATATGCGATATAAATTTAATTTGCATTCGAAGCAATTATTCATAACTGAGAGAAGCAGATTTAGATTGATTTTCTCAAGTTCCTGAAAGAGGTAATTTCAAGACTGAGATAATTTGGCCAGATTGCTTTGCATTAAACCATTATTAATCCCGCTCCTAAATTTCTGTCTCGTTGAAATTATGAATAGACCTAGCTTCTAATACGTCACATCTCTATTTAGCCACACTTAGTGCTAAATGCGGACGCCCAATTCCAAATTTTAATCGCCCGATACGAAGATTGCGTTCAGGGTCAACGTGAGATAAATAGCATTACCCGATTTAACTACAATCACGCCATTTCGCGAATAATGTTACAGTAAAACACAACCATAATTCATAACGCCGATCGCTGTCATCCCGATGTCACATTTTATACATAGCGTCTCAGGTGGAAAAAGATCACAAATGCTGTGGAATGATTCGCCGGGAATAAAGGGGGGAAAAAAGAGAAGGAGAAATTATTAAGTCGTGTAAGCAACTGTTGAGACATAACTGAGGAATGCGAGAAGTTATCATAAATTGTTACGTTAATATTTTTAATTTCATTAATAACATTAATTCTGTATAGGGAATATACTCGGAAAGAAAAACTTAGTATTGTCAGCGTCTCCACAAAGAAAAATTAATAAATCGACTTATTGTAACAATTTAACGGTTTATAAAAAATTAGTCACTGCAGTTAAAATATATCTTTTCTCTTCCTCTTTCACTAAAAAGTACAGCCATGTATAACGAATAAGATCACGAACGCTGCAGATTGGTTCGCCGGGAATAAAGGGGGAAAAATGAGAAGGAGAAATTATTAAGTCGTGTAAGCAACTGTTGAGACATAACTGAGGAATGCGAGAAGTTATCATAAATTGTTACGTTAATATTTTTAATTTCATTAATAACATTAATTCTGTACAGAGAATATACTCGGAAAGAAAAACTTAGTATTGTCAGCATCTCCACAAAGAAAAATTAATAAATCGACTTATTCTAACAATTTAACGGTTTATAAAAAATTAGTCACTGCAGTTAAAGTATATCTTTTCTCTTCCTCTTTCACTAAAAAGTACAGCCATGTGTAACGAACAAGGGAGAGCGCGCCAGAAATCATAGTCATATGGAGGAATATTATCATCTTTTGGGATGTGTGTAGGGGCTTGAAAACAGTCCCTCGCGATGCCGCGAGGCTCGCCCTTTGATTTTATTATTATACACCTGTTGAAAATTCGTTTGACATCGTGCTAGAACACCAGCACATGAACGTACAATATCGCGCCTCTCACAATATTTACACTGCAAACGTAGCGCTTTGCTTGAATATCATCCAAAGTAGAACGATACAAGCGTCCCTCGACACACATCTCGATTTCAGCTCGCACACGCATCCGCGAATTGGCTCGTCCAGATTATCTTCTCGCATTTTGAATTTCCACTACAATTCCGGGCCTCGCTAATATTAAGTTTCTGGCTGATATTTTGAGATCCCGGCTGAATAATCATGTCGCGTGAAATTAAACCGCGAGTCTGGTCGCGGCTTCGCCTCGGGACGGATTACATCGCGTTTCAGCACAGCGCGGTACAGTGCAATTCGGTACTAATGGTAACGATGACAATAGCAAAAGTATAACTTTACACTGCCAATTCGAGCGCAATTGTACAGCCGCGAATGTATCAGTGTACCACGTTCATTCTGTCTCGCAGGTGAGAGATTCTGTCTCGCGAGAAATTGAGACGATGCCCGCGTCGACGATATAAATACGCGGGCGATGGAGGATGCGCTAAAAAATTGAAGAGCCCGCGAGAGGAAAGTGGCGAACTTGGCAATGGGTCCCGTATTGATTGTCATGCCGGCGTGAGGGAAAGTGCGCCGGAGGAGAGCGCGGGGGAAGAAAAAAAATGTTAGCCGCGACGGACGCGGAGCAGGGCGCGAGCAACGGCGTGATAGTGTCGCAGCTCGCGAATACGCACACCCCGCAGGATTTCACGGTCTCACGCCTGCTGTCCACGCCGACGCACTCCTTGGGTAAGGAATATGAGAATGCCATTTTATATCAGCGTATAAGATAGCACGTTATTCAATTGTCTGGTAAATTACTGGAGGGAGGTCCTCTATTACGAGACGGCTTTCTAATATGAGACGGCAGGTTTCCGACACCCAGATTCAGTCGGTTTTCGCGACGATTACACGATCTAACAATGAATTTTCCACTAAACAGAGATTTCGCTCCGAGGGCAATAAATTCACGGTGGAATCAACCGACGATGTACCCCCGTTATCCCATATTAGGGTCCTATCTCATAATAGGAGGCCTTCCTCTGTTAATTAAGTGTTCGTAGAACGCAAAGCTCGAGCAACTTTTGAACGGAAGCTTCTCGGTACTAACTTTCCCGTTTAAAATAATAGATCGGATTACATTAGATTATTAATTCACATCGAAATTGTATGTAATCTAATGTAATCTGATCGTATTCTGTCTAATATTTTAAGGTTGCGAACAAGAAACCGGAAGTCGTCGGCCCCTCTTACTTTCCGTCGCTATAATTGTTCGAGGGTAGCGCGGACACTCGGCTTTGTAATTATAATTTTACGAAATTGTATACGTTTAATATTCACGAATGATTAAATTAGGTGGAATTTTGTGGGATCTGGAAAATGCATTACTGGCACGAGAATGCGGCATCTATTGCGAACGATTTAATCGCGTCCCTTCGCATTAATCCGCGGTTCACGACGCACTTGATTTCATCGAAATGGCGCATTTCCAGTCATGCTGCTCGCATTATGCCGCTTTGATGAATGCCCAAGTATAGTGGAGTCATTCAAAGAATGGCCGCGGCTGTTAGTCGACCCGCGCGCGCGCGCGCGCACGTTCCTTTTTTCCCTTTTTCCTTTTTTTCGGTACAGGCCGCCGGTATCGCGAGCGGCATCTTCGAGACCGCACGTTTCGCCGTGCGATAGAAGACCATCGAGAAAAATAATTTCGCATTCTTCTCGCGGAGCAACGTTTTTACGCGCGCGAAAAGTATATGACTCTAAGCGAGATTGACGTTCATTCGGCGAACGACATTTCTGTTATGCAAACAAAAAAAAACAACAGATATTTTCCGTCGAATGTAATTATAGTAAAACGTTCGAAACTTCGAAATCTCGAAGTAGTCATTCAACCGTGTACACGCAACAACCGAAATGATAAGTGCAAGAGCTAAAGAGAGTAAAAGTATTGCCAAGTGTCTAATAGAAACGTATGCCGCTTTATCGGCAAAATAAACGAACGAAAGAAATTCAATTGATAATTCGAAAATATTCGTCGCCAGCAGAATGATTGACAAATGAAGCAGATGTAGGGAGATCCAGGTTGAAACCCTGGCTGAGGTAACATTTTTCGCAATAAATTTTCTGTATTATTAAAAATGCCAGGTACGGTCAAGAAAACAGCGACGTTGCTGATTATCGCTGGCGACATTGAAGAACTCTTATTAAAGTAGATTTCCTCGGCCAAAACTGACAAAAGGTTTATTATAAGGTCCACTACGTTTCGACCATCCGGACTGTGGTCCTTATCAAGTTACAATTACTCTATATACGAACATAACGGAAATATTATTGAAGATATAAATGATATACGATCACAAAGAAATACAAATTCAATTGACCTCGAGGACCGGATTAACAGCGTATCGCTGATAATTGCTGAACGTTTTATAGATTGCAGCGAGACCTCTTCCACTGCTGGGAACAGAAGGCCCAGGAGAAGCCGGACGACGTTCTCGGCGCAACAGTTGGCCGCGTTGGAGAGGGTCTTCGAGAAGACGCACTATCCGGATGCCTTCGTCCGCGAGGAACTCGCGACTAGGGTGTCCCTGTCGGAGGCCAGAGTGCAGGTAATCCAATGTAATCTTAATCTATCACATCAATACAGTAAACCAGGATGAGACGTAAGGAGTTTCTTTCATAAATTCATTTATAAATTTGTGACAAATTAGGTATCTATCTTTTGAAATTTGTAAGAAGATAATTGACGCCGTTCTCTCTCTCTCTCTCTCTTTTTATATTTGTCACTTTATCTAATACAGTACCGGCCAAAAGTATATCACCTTTAGGTTTTCTGAGCATAACTTTCGTCAAAGTGCACCGAAATTTTACAATAGACACTTGATAACAGGTGCATCTTATTGTATATACACGAAGGATAATAAAATTTGATAAAAATACACCATAATTTTCGAATTTTTCGTTCGTGCACTTAAAAACTAGTTGCGCTCAAAAAAATCGAAAAGCGATGTAATTTTGGCCGGTACCGTATTTACATTTTAAAATCGAATCATTGCTCGAGGACTAATCCTTTTAGATTACATTTCTACTTATATTATAAACAACGAGGACATTTTTGGTGGTTTGGTGCGGACCAATTAGATAATTTCTTCGAATGCTCAATCCGACAAATATTTAATGCACCGCCAATTTCTCCCGGCGCGCAATTTAGACTAATAAACACGTTTACCTATAGTCTCATTTGTTTACTAGTTTGAAGAATCTAAATATATATAACCGAATTGAAATCTAGAGACTGTTAGATAAACAGAAATGTAAAGAACGAAATTGGGATTCGGAAGAGTATCAGTCTCAATGATGTTCGATCTCGTTCCACCCCGCTCGCGGATGATGGAACGTGGCGGAACGACAAACCGCCGCCTTGAGACGTTCACCAACCGGCTAGCCAACCAACCGAGCAACCGACCAGCCCACAGAACGAGCGGACCGCTCTTTGAAGCTGTCTTCCACTCGGTAACCGAGAAGACTAGCTGTCCGAGAAAGTATCACGACGTGCACATGTGTTGGGCTCTTGTACCGAACGTAACGCGTCGTCAGTAACACGAGGGAAAGAAAGATAAAGAAGAAGGAGGAGGAGGAGGAGGAGGAGGAGGCGGCGGTGGAAGGTGGAGGTCGTGGACAGCTAGGCAGAAAATCGGAGGAGACAGGTTGTCAGAGCGCCGAGAGGGAGAGGGAGGGAGAGAAGAAGATAGAGAGCTATGATTAGCCGGACGGCGACGCGCGCTCCAGCATCTGCGCGCTCCGGCGTCGTGCGTCGAGCACGTGTTTGCGTCGCCGTCGCCGTCGCCGTCGCCGTCGCCGTCGCCAGCGGTCCATGCCGCGTGCACGCGTCTGTCTGCGTCGTCGGTACGCCTGCCAGGAGCCGTCACGCTGTCCCGTTTTCGGTCGGCGCGCCACGTCCTTCCATCCCTCCGACCCCGCCGCCGCGTCTCTCCGCTCTCGCGAAGACGCGAGATTTTTGGAGTAACGCGAAAGACGAGGAGCGTCACAGCACATCGAGTGTCTCTCGCCGACGGTGTTTCGTTAGAAGAGGCGATTCTCCGACGAAGAGCGTGCCATGCTCCTCAAATCGAATTTATTTGTCTTGCGGCTTGGTCTTCCTCGAGTGATGTCGGACGAGGAGCATTCGCGATAGTCGGACTTGTCAGATCCATTAGATTCCCGTCGAAGATATTCCTAAAAGGCGCGGCGTGGTCCTTTGAGACGGATTTGTTTGAGTTATACTCTAGATTTCAATTCGTAGAATTCATTTGAGAGACAGGCGTACTCTTTTGAGAGATCGGCAGAGACTCGATGAGGCGCTAATCAGTGCAGCTAAATTAATAAATATACATACGTGTTAAATGACTCAAATTAAGATTTGCAAATGAATAAACCATCGCAAAGAAACGTTCAAACATGCACGGCTTTGAGAGGCGTTAATCTTTTTAAGAATTGCTTTCAAAGAAAGCAATAATTGCGCACCTAGTCGTATAATTCATTCTTGAAAAGTATTTTTATTGTCGCGCTAATATCTCGATTATTCATAGCAAAGAATTGCATTATTACTCTAGGAACTCTAATTCTTATTTTACCATAAAATTTTCTTAAAAACCCTGAACTATTAAATTACTTGAACCCATACATTTTACTAGTAGATACACTTTACCAGTAGAAGTTCAATGATAGTGCTTATAATTCGAACTTTGAGCCCTGCTAGAACAAAAAAAAACGACTCATAGGATCGACTTGTGACAATAGTAACTTTAAATCAGCATCACTTGAAGTACAAAGTTTCAGCCAATTTCACCGAAATCCATTTACCGTAAGGTTTGCGCGGGATCCCTTAAAAAAACACATAAAATTCTTCGAAATGCCATGTTGCCCCATTACATGATTTTCAGATGAATTTTAAGAAAGCAAATTCCCTCCGTGCAGGATTTACTTTTAAAAATGGCCGAGAACGAGAGAGACGTCCTGGTTTTCTTCCTCTACAATCCCGATCGCGCATAAAGAACGCGCTCGTCCCATCCGCGCGAGGAGAATTCGTTTAATCATCCCCCACCCCTGTCAACCCCAAAAGAATTTTTTTTCGTGGGACAATTTTGTAATTTTGTAAAGCCAATTTCAAATTGCTCACGGTTAAAAAATTTTTAATTTCAAATACCAATATCTTCTTCATTAAACTTCTGACCTGAGTGTTTTAAGTATGAAAGTGTTTTGCTATGCGGCCTGCAACTTATCCCGGCATTATTTTGTGCAAAAAAAGCTAATAAAAAGATTTACCAGCGCAAAAACTATATTCGAATGTGCCGGTAAAACAGACGACTTTAGGATTTCCTTAAGAAAGACAGCGGAGCCGGCAAAAATATATCGTTTTTCCTGTGCAGGTGTGGTTCCAGAACAGGCGGGCGAAGTTCCGACGGAACGAGCGGAGCTCGGCGATGAGCCGGGGCGTCTCCGCGGGCAGGGAGATGGAGGCCGCGCTGCCGCTGCGCCCTATCAGGGTGTCGCAGCATCCTCCGCAGCATCACCCGGCTGAGAGCAGCGCGGAATCGCCGCAGGCCGCTACCACCCAAGTGACGGCGCAGTACTCTTACGGCGACTACTGGCGCGCGACGCCGCAGCATTACGCGGTGCAAACCGCCGCGGCCGCCGGCTGCCACGGCTTCGCCGCGAACGGCGGCCTGGCGAACGTGGGCCTGCCGCCGTACCACCATCACCAGGCCGACCTCCACCACGGCACCCTCGACGGAGCCGCCGTGAACGGCCTGAGCGCCCTGAGGCTGCGAGCGCATCCCTACGGCACGACGTATCCGGCGATGCACGCGAGCATGTGACGCACCGTCCCCGGAAATCGAGTCTCCGAGAGCGCGAGAACGTCACGAATGTAACGCCTTTGAGAGTGTAACTTAGATCGGAAGAGGCTTCTCTGAGGCCGAGAGACCGGATTTATTTAAATTGCAAAAAGATATTTCTATTTAAACCCAGCGAGAGAGATGACTTGTCGATCGACGTCGATACGACGGTTTCGATGTCGATGCGACAAGCCTCTTGCAATTTCGACGTCGATCGACGAGTCATTTCTGACTGGGAAAGATACATATACGAAAAAAATGACTTAATATAAAGAAGACTTGAGACACGTGCACGGTACGAAACCGTTTCTTGGGAATTATTTCTAGCTTCTCCGCAATCCCCCGTCTCGGCACTGACCAGCAATCGTCTCCATTTATAAATTGGCGCGTCGAAGACTGGAATACTTATTACAGTTTTATTAAGAGTATATATACAGTATTATTACAGAGTGGTCCTGAAATAGTTGGTCAAACTCAGGGATTGGATTGGGCTCATCATAAGGATGAAAAAAGTTCCTATAAACGTTAGTCCAAAAACGCATCCCGCAGGTGTTACGACTCATTTAATTATTAATACCTGATTTAAAAAATGGAAGGCTATGAAAGGAAAAAACTTGATTTTTATTTACAGTTGTTAAAAATGTCCGCTGTTAGCGAAAACACGTGCCTTCATCTAACCATTGACTGTCTAACACGCTCAAAGATTCCTAGTGTATCTCGAGATTGCTGTGTTTTCAATTTTTAAGTGCTCGAACAATAATAGTGGATTTTAATTGCGACAACAGATCACTGGATTAAGCTACTTATTGAACACAGTAATTAAAAAAGCACAAATCGTAGTACGATCAAAACACTGCATGTATTTACTCTTCGAGATTGATAATTAAACGAGTCGTAACTCCCGAAGGATACGTTTTCGGACTAACGTTTATGGGAACTTTTTTCATCCTTTTGACGAGCCCAATCCAATCTCTGATTTTGACCAACTATTTCAGGACCACCCTGTATAATGACTTTCGTTTCTCGCGGAACCGAGACCCCTCGAGTTGGTCCAATATCATTCTGTAGGTGACGCGAACGCGTGAAGGATTACTTTTATCGGAATCTGTATAGTGACCGGAAGGCTCGCTCGAATCATCCAAACCAAAGATAAGCTTGACTGTTAAAAATAAATTTGAGATCGCAGATGAAGATGATCTCGCGCAGCATCCATCGGGCCATGTGCAAAAGGATAATTCGGATGTTCTACGGATTATCGCTGCGAACGTCCAAACGTTGATCGTATGCCTTATAACCAACGATAATGATTAGAGTAAATTTAAGCTGTAAGTTCTCAACACACAGGGTAACAAGTAAATAAGTCAAAGCGCTTCTTTTTCCCGTCGATAGAGTAGTACATTAAGTTATATGAGGAGAGGTGTATTAGAACATCGCAATATTTTAAATACAGGATATATACAGAAAAAAAACACCGGCATTCTACAACTTGTGACCTTATATAGACATATGTAGACGGTATAGATACAAGACAACCTCGTGTGCAATGAAACCATTGAGCTCGGAGAACGTCTTCGGGCATGTTTTCTCATTGATATAAATATAATCAGAAAAGTACACAACATATAGATATAGGTATGTAACAAATACATGTATATATGTACACATGTCGAAATATATATTGGCACAGGATTAGAATATAGTCAGCCGGCGTACATATCGATCGTATCCGTATCTTGTCTCGCTCTTAAAATGCATTATTCTCAACCCTCAGCAGGTACTAGTATTTTTAAATCGTGACGCAACACGGCAATTAAATGTAAAATGTAAATGCAAGATTACGTTCGTCTTCTTGCGTTCATAAAGTGACACAATTAAAATACTTTTCTCCAATTAATTCTTCCTCTAATAGATTTTTTAATCTGGACGATATTTCGCATGGAATAACTTAAATTAAAAATTAACAGCTTGAAGATGTGTATCACCTGCCGGGGGTTAAAATATCAACGTCTACGTCAATCATCTTGGACCATAGGGATATTACAATTTAACAAGACAAACATTCAAAAAACATCAAAAGGATACCTGCGAGGTACCCAAAACGTTATGTCGTCTAAAAAGTATCGGTCGCGTTTTCAACATGTTCACCATGTTTTTCCTGACTTGTATTGCCTTGATAAATATACCAACAACCTCGGGAAGTGTCGTCGAATATAAAAGAATTCAAGATATCTATCCTCGTGAATTCGCTCAAGATTACGATATCTCTTGCTCCGTGTCTCAGTACTATACCGTTACTTGAACATTCTGCACGACGTTGCTCCAGTCGAGCTTGGACGGCACCAGATAAAAGGCCGGTGCGATCTTACTTCCGCAGGGGCACTGGCTGCCAGCGATCCAGCTGTACGAGCCGAGTTTCGTGTTGCATTTAGGGCAATTTAATTTGCCCTCGACGTTGTGCGTGATGTCGGGCATCCAGGCCAACGGCTCTACGAAGTAGATCTTGTCGCAGAGCTGGACTCGCGCCGACTCGTCTCGCCTCTGGGTCGGTCTGTCGCAGCTCTCGCCGTCCTTCGAGGCGCTCTTGGTGCTGAGATGCCGCCAGATCTGCTTCTCGCGCGGCGCGTGCGGCAAAATGTTGCTGGCGCTCGCCACAATGCGACGGCACTTCTTGCAACGATAAACCGACGGCTCGGGGCGCACGGTTATCAGCGCGGGGTCCGGCTTCACCAGGTCGACGCAGCTCTGGGGAAGGATGCGGGCCTTGCGCACCTTGTCGGCGGCGATCTGCAGCCGGTACATCTTGAACTGCACATTGGTGCTGTCCACGCCGCAGTTCATGTCCTCGTAGAGCCGCAGCTGCGCCACGAAGCCGGGGTTTGGCGCGACGAAGCGACGCTTCGACTTGACCGTCTGCAGCGCATCCGCGTAGCTCGACTCGTGCTTCTTCATGGTGTACGCGATCACCACGGAGGCGGATCGCGACACGCCAAAGTAACAGTGCACCAGCACCCTGCCGTCGGAGTCGAGGGCGCGGTCGATGAACTCGTACGAGTCCTCGAAGTGCGTCAGCAGGTCCTCCCGCGGCATGTCCGTCATTTGAATATACTTTATGACTACATTCGGGAGGCGCTCCTGTATCTTTCTCGGCAACGGGCAGGAGTCTATCGTCAGCATGTGAGTTATTCCAGCCTCTTTCAGCCAGTCGACGTCCGTGGCAGCCGTGAGATTGCCGAGGAACAAGCCCGGCTCGATCTCGTCGAAGCTGCACGGGCCGGCATCGAAATCCTCTCTTGTCAACTTATTCGTATCCTCCTGCGCCATACTCAGCACTCTGTAATCATGGAGCGAAGCTACGGACGGGATTTCCAGATCTGATCTTACAATTATCATCGCTATCTACTTCGTCATTCGCTACCATCCGTTATTAAGCATTCAGAACGGATTGGCTATCAAGTTACGATGCATTCTACACTTACATCTACGGCATTTGTAACGAATTGGAAAGGGAACGGAGAGTGGGAGTTCGTAAAGAGTGAAGGTATATTTTCACTATGTGTTCAGCTCGAACGGCGCTCATTTAATTCTCGTTCCGTAATTACATTAGATATAATGATAATCCTTACAAAGACAAATAAACATATGTACGCGATGTTAAATATGTCACCAAACAAAATACTAACAAGATAAGGCTTAGATCACTAAAACTGAGGCCGGGATTCATAGTCAGATCTTCAAGACTGTCTTAAGATCATCTTTAGATATTCCGTAGCCAATGAAATGTTCCATACAGCACCTTTAGATAAATTCAAGGCGGTCTTGAGTATAAGATCCGACTATGAACACCGGCTTTAAATGTTCGTCCAGTAAATGAAGTATCAGCAGCGTATCAGCCGCTCGCGAGCAGAGTATCACAGTAGAGTGCGTATGCTTTGAACTTGTGTTCTACCGGCAGAGCTCAACAGCGGATTGCCAGCGGGAACCAGGCGGGATCTGTCGCTTCCTAATCATTTAAACGAGATGTTGCTTCCGCTGTCAAACGTAGCAGACTTTGTGCCGCGTTTCTGCTCGCATTCCGCTGGCGAGATCTCCAGCGGACACTTTGCAAACTCTATATTTTCGCCAGACTTGACTGTCTCGCGTCGTTTAAAATGCATGGAGTAAGCCTGGGGTAAGGAGTAAAGAAATTAATCGGTTTTATTCCTTAGGCCGATGGCAGAGAACGATCCGTAAACGCTTAAAACTGTCTCAGGCCTGGTTTTTCGTTTTCTGGTTAATTGATAACCAGAGGTTAGCCGATTCTCTGTCTCTTCTTAGATAATAACATAGAATAGGATGGAGAGTCGACTAACTTCTGGTTAACAGTTAACAAGACAACGAAAAACCAGGCCCAAGTTGTAGACGCAAGGGTCTATCCAGACCAACTTGCACAGGTGCATAAAAAAATTGGTCGGTCTATTTTCTTACGAGTGCATTTATGGTCCAATCGGATTCCTTATGCATACGCTTATGCGCTATGCAAGTTTGTCTGGATAGGCCCTAAGGCAAGGCAGAGAAAAATGTAAGTTGTCTACAATAGCCTTTC